GAAGGAAGCACTCAAGAAGGTCCTGTCTGCTCTAGCAGAGAGAGAGGGTGAGATCAGAGAGAGAGGAGAAGGAGTCTTAGAAGAAATACATGAAATGGTAGAGGAAATGATAAATGTTCTTCATCAGTCAGAGAGGAAACTGACTGAGCAGGCAAAGAGGGTCACTGATGATAAACTAAAGGTGCTTTCAGAGCAAATGAAATCAGCAGAAATGAGTTTGAGTCTTCTGGAGGATCTTGAAAATTATGTGGAACAGAGTCTGAAGACAGGCAGTCCTCAACAAGTTCCGAGGTCTAAGAAACAGATGATGCAGCATATGAGTGAAGTTACTGCAGGGATCAATGTGGAAGAGTTACATCCAAAAGAAAAGGCTGACTTTGTATTGAGTAAAAATACCAAATCGCTACATTGCATTGGAGATATTGTGACCTACTCATCTACTTCACTACAGCAGTGTAGAGTGGATAAGATTGATCATATTACACATGCTGGCAAAGCAGTTTCATTTTCACTATCAATAGAGGCACCAGATTCATCTGTTTTGTGTGTTCCCCTCTCTTCTCTGAAGTGTAGTCTAGTACCAATCGGTAAAGGTAAACGTATTCGTACTACAATCACTACCAGCACTGATCCTAGAGTGTATAGGATACAATGTAACCCTTCAACACGTGGTACTCATACAGTAAAAGTACAAGTATATGATGTACACCTTGAGGATACCTCACTAGTCATCCCTTTTAATCCTTACCTTGATAACATCACTCCAGTACGTACTATAACTGAGCTTAAGAATTCCTGGGGAGTTGCTGTAACTGATAATAATCATGTTATACTAACCGGGTGTGGTAGTCAGTATGTAACAATACTGGATAGAGAAGGAAAGAAAGTGAAATCATTAGGAGGGAAAGGAGGAAGTGGTAATGTCAAGTTTTCTTATCCTCGGGGTGTAGCCATTACTCCAGACAAATTCATCATTATATCTGATAATCACAGGATCCAGAAGATAAGCATGGATGGAGACCTTATAGCATCAGTTGGTGAGAAGAGCATTGGCAGTGGACCACTACAATTTAAGCATCCTGATGCTATAGCCATTTCTGCTATAACAGGACAGGTTTATATTGCTGATTGGAATAATCATCGTATACAAGTCTTGAATCCTGATCTAACTTTCTCTCATTCATTTGGTAGTGAAGGATCAGCTAATGGACAGTTTAAGTATCCACGTGACATTGCTATTGACAGTCAAGGATTACTGTATGTTGCTGATAGTGGTAATAATCTCATTCAGAAGTTCTCTCCAGATGGAAAGTTTGTGGGTCAGTTTGGTACTTATGGATCTGGTCCTGGACAGTTTATTGGTCCATATAGTGTAACAATAGACACTGCAGCTACTGGTCTAGTGTATGTTAGTGATAATGGTAATAATCGTATATCAGTCTTCACTAGTGATGGTGTGTTTGTTAGCAAGTTTGGAAGTAAAGGCAGTAATATTGATCAGTTTAACGGCCCTATTGGATTAAGATTTAATAAAGATGGATTCTTGTATATTTGTGATAATAGTAACAACCGAGTTGTTGTTTATTAGCTTTTATTTCTTTTATTATTCTTAATGATCATTATTTAGTTTTAATTAAACTGAGATCTTCCCACCACTGCACATCTAGCAATCAATAACCGAGTTACTATGCTATACAAAGGTGAATGGTTTAAATCCACTATTAATTTCTTTATTTTCTCCATAAGAACTGCACAAGCAAAGATCGATTTCCAATACAATAAATTGAATTATGCAATGAGCTTTTCTGTGTGAGCCAGTGCTTGCATTTTAAAGGAAAATTGGAAAAGTCACTTTTGACCCATTCAGCCCTGTATAGATTTATGCCACAACATATGACAGATCATTAATGATATATTCATTGGCAAATAGCCATTGTAAATAAATGGACTGTAAGTATTTATTTAGGACATGATGCATGCACATAATATTGTAGCAAGACACTCTTTTTTTTGCATGTGCATATAGTAAACTAATAATAATACAAGACACCTATGGTGCTTGGACTCGCCGCAGTTGCTTTTGCATTCATGCAATATAAAAAGCAATGAATCATGGGCTTCATCGAGTCATTGCTGATGCAGCATGGTAGAGATAATGACCCTGATTCATTGCTTTTGATAGTGCATGTTTTGCACTGACTCAACAGTCTTGATAGATTTTATTTGCCTAATGCATAAGACAGCAAACAAAAATCATTTTTTAAGAAATGTAATCAAGAATAGTCTATAAAATTGCCAATTATTAGACTAATAGAGGCGTGACTGAAGAAGTGACTTTAGACAAGTAATATGGCACAAGTACTGCTGCCTAGATATATTTAAAAGAGTTGAAAGAGTCCAGTACTGCTAGCCTAACATTTCTGCTTCAAACCTTCACAAAATCGAAAGGCTAGGATGAAGTTTAGAGCATAAGTCACTACTACCAAGTAAGAATTAAGAAATGCATATTAATGAAATAGAAGGTAGTAATCTACTGGAAAATGCTTTTATCTATCTCTAGAGTGTCAGCACAATCACTGAATTTTTAAATTTTTCTCCCTTACTTGGCAAGCTTCTTCTCCTTAGCTCTGCTCTTTAAACATTTTTAGCTGATAATTGAAGGCTTGGGCTAGCTGTGGAGAAAGATCTATGAGTCTAGAAGACTCGGTTTTTTATTTCAAAGTTTTTTAAATTTCATTACAATATGCAGGATAGACTAGTACTCAATACTTGCCTATGCCAAGTCAAATTAGATAGTAATCATTTAAACTAATAGGAAAGCCAGTATTCATTATGTACTATCATAACTTCCTTTAGTCACAAGATCTTTGAATATATTTAAGGTATCGCCCACTTTTTGTGTCTAGCTGACCTTCTTTAGTCTTTCTCTCCTCCTTCCACCTTCTTCATTTTGTTTTTTTGCTGCATCTCATTCATCCCGACTTCTTCATTTTCTTATCGTTTGTTCTTTTTCTACCTTCATTTGCCGTCTTGTACCTTCACCTCTCTTCATTTTTCATTCTTGCTTTACGAATTTACGTACACAATTTTATTCTTTTCTTGAAATGGCAACCAAACCATCTTCATCTTCTTCTCCTGGTCTCCTCAAACTGGAGGAACAACTCACCTGTCCTGTGTGTCTTGACCACTATACCAACCCTAAGACTTTACCTTGTCTACATTCATTCTGTGAGCACTGTCTGGAGGGATTACCTCTGGATAAAGAAAATAAGACCTGTTACCTCTTTTGTCCCACTTGTCGTCATTGTACAGAGTTACCAGAAGAAGGAGTAGGAGCCTTCCCTGTAGCATTCACTCTCAACAACCTCAAAGAGATATACAGTCTAATGAAAAAAGTAGCTGATCCTCAACAGGTCACCTGTGACAACTGTACTACAGCTAATGCCACTGGATACTGCAAAGACTGCAGTAAGTTTCTTTGTCAAAAGTGTATGGATGTACACAAGATGTGGGCTCCTATTGCTCACCATCAGCTGACAAGTCTTGATGAGGTGGCAGCCTCTGATGTCTCTTCTACTTCTCAATTGCTAGCTCCAGCTAAACAGGAGGCACCTCTCATTTGTCCCATACCAAGTCATGATGAGCCTTTAAAGATCTACTGTGAAACATGTGATAGTGTTATATGTCGTGACTGTACAGTCCGTACTCATAAAGACCATGAATATGACTTAGTCTCTACCAGTTATACTAAACACTGTCTAGAATTGGAAGGTTCTCTTAATCCGGTAAAAGGGGAAATTGAAGCACTCAAGAAGGTCCTGTCTGCTCTAGCAGAGAGAGAGGGTGAGATCAGAGAAAGAGGAAAAGGAGTCTTAGAAGAAATACGCAAAATGGTTGAGGAAATGATGAATGTTCTTCGTCAGTCAGAGAGAAAACTGACTGAGCAGGCAAAGAGGGTCACTGATGATAAACTAAAGGTGCTGTCAGAGCAAATGAAATCAGCAGAAATGAATTTGAGTCTTCTGGAGGATGTCAAGGATTATGTGGAACAGAGTCTGAAGACAGGCAGTCCTCAACAAATCCTGAGGTCTAAGAAACAGATGATGGAGCGTATGAGTGAAATTACTGCAGGGATCAATGTGGAGGAGTTACATCCAAAAGAAAAGGCTGACTTTGTATTGAGTAAAAATATCAAATCGCTACATCACATTGGAGATATTGTGACCTCTACTGCACTACAGCAGTGTAGAGTGAAGAAAGTTGGTTGCTTTGAACGTCTACTAGAAGAAATGGAAATTTCATTTTCATTATCAATAGAGGCACCAGATTCATCTCTTTTGTGTGTTCCCCTTTCTTCTCTGAAGTGTAGTCTAGTACCAGTTGGTAAAGGTGATCAACCCATTCACACTACAGTCACTACCACCAGCACTGATATTGGAGTGTGTAGGATACAGTGTAACCCTTCAACCAGTGGTACTCATACAGTAAAAGTACAAGTATATGATGTACACCTTGAGGATACCTCACTAGTCATTCCTATCAACCCTTACCTAAATAACATCACTCCAGTAGGTACTATAACTGAGCTTACAAATCCCTGGGGAGTTGCTGTAACTGATGATAATCGTTTTATAGTAACTGAGTATGATGGTCACTGTGTAACAATTCTGGATAGAGAAGGAAAGAAAGTGAAATCATTAGGAGGGGAAGGAGGAAGTGGTAATGTCAAGTTTTCTTATCCTCGTGGTGTGGCCATTACTCCAGACAAATTCATTCTTGTATCTGATAATCACAGAATCCAGAAGATAAGCATGGATGGATACCTTATAGCATCAGTTGGTAAGGAGGGCAGTGGACCACTACAATTTAATTGCCCTGATGGTATAGCCATTTCTCCTATAACAGAAAAGGTTTTTATTGCTGATTGGAATAATCATCGTATACGAGTCTTGAATCCTGATCTAACCTTCTCTCATTCATTTGGTAGTAAAGGATCAGCTAATGGACAGTTTCAGTCTCCACATGACATTGCTATTGACAGTAAAGGATTAGTGTATGTTACTGATAGTGGTAATCATCGCATTCAGAAGTTCTCTCCAGATGGAATATCTGTGGGTCAGTTTGGTACTAAAGGATCTGGTCCTGGACAGCTTTATAGTCCAAATGGTATAACAATAGACACTGCAGCTACTGGTCTAGTGTATGTTAGTGAATGGGGCAATAATCGTATATCAGTCTTCACTAGTGATGGTGTGTTTGTTAGTAAGTTTGGAAGTAAAGGCAGTAATTTTGATCGGTTTAATAATCCTTCTGAATTAAAATTTAATAAAGATGGATTATTGTATATTTGTGATTATTATAATAACCAAGTTGTTGTTTATTAGCTTTTATTTCTTTTATTATTGTTAACGACCATTATTTAGTTTTAATTATGCTAAGACCTTTCTAAGTACCACTGTGCATTATTTTAGCCAATTAATAACCGAGCTGCCATGTTATACAGAGGTGAATAGGCTAAATTCACTATTAATTTCTCCAAGAGAACTGCACAAGCAAAGACCAAATTGCAGTATAATCAGTAGAATTACATGATGCAATGAGCATTTCTGTGTGAGTCAATGCTTGCTTTTTAAACTCACCTTTAGTCTACTAGTAAAATGAATGTATTATCATAACTTCCTGCAGTCACATGACTATAGAATATTCCAGAAGGTCATCAGGCCTATCTATCTTTCCCCAGGCTATCTTTCCCCAGGTTGCTCTCGTTTTCGTTCATTCTCCCTTCTTCATTTTCTTATTGTTCGTTCTTGCTCTATCTTCATTTACTGTCTTTTACTTTTATCTCTCTTTATTTTTTGTCCTTGCTTTACATACACATTTTTATTCTTTTCTTGAAATGGCAACCAAACCATCTTCATCTTCTTCTCCTGGTCTCCTCAAACTGGAGGAACAGCTCACCTGTCCTGTGTGTCTTGACCACTATACCAACCCTAAGACTTTACCTTGTCTACATTCATTCTGTGAGCACTGTCTGGAGGGATTACCTCTGGATAAGAAGAATGAGACCTATTACCTCTCTTGTCCCACTTGTCGTCATTGTACAGAGTTACCAGAAGAAGGAGCAGGAGCCTTTCCTGTAGCATTCACTCTCAACAACCTCAAAGAGATATACAGTCTAATGAAGAAAGTAGCTGATCCTCAACAGGTCACCTGTGACAACTGTACTACAGCTAATGCCACTGGATACTGCAAAGACTGCAGTAAGTTTCTTTGTCAAAAATGTATGGACGTACACAAGATGTGGGCTCCTATAGCTCACCATCAGCTGACAAGTCTTAATGAGGTGACAGCCTCTGATGTCTCTTCTACTTCTCAATTGCTAGCTCCAGCTAAACAGCAAGCACCTCTCATTTGTCCCATACCAAGTCATGAAGATTCATTAAGGTATTACTGTGACACATGTGATGAATCTATCTGTCGTGATTGTATCATGCTGGCTCATAAAGATCATAAGTATAACCTAATAGCTGATAGTTTTACTAAACACAAAGAAGCACTAGAGAAATCTCTTGATC